CGTTTCTGTTTGTTTTGTTCGGAGCTGATCCGGTTTGTTTGGCTCCCCCTGCAGGTCTAAAGATGCAGCCACATAACATTAAATATTTACTGAATTTTTCTCTGTTCAGTTTAATTACGAAAAAGACGACAATTTTCTCAGTTAACTTAATTAAAATTGGACAAATCAAAAGCAAAACTCCAGGGGCTAGTTGCACAAAAGGTTTAAACTAGTTTTACAAGTTAGTCATCAAATTGTTTCTGTAAGACTGGTCATGATTTGTTTTTATTCGGTTACATGAAAACGTAGATTAGTCTAAATTGAATCCAAAAAATAAAACTGATTACTCCTTGGCTGCTAATTGGTCAGACTAGATCTTAAGACACTGTGTTAACAAACATAGAGGCTAAGTTTATGCAACTGGCCCCAGAAGGCTCAGAAATAGACATATTCAATGAATTACAAAATATCATGGAATTACTGTTTTAAAGTTTTCCCCGAGGCGGATTATTTTGGAAATACCGTAGAAGAATGTTTGGCTGTAACAATTTTCATTCTTGAATACTTTCATGATCTTAAATATTAAACTGTTTTTTTTTTACTTTACTTAGATGTCTTTTAATGACATTTTCCACAAATTCAGGATTTATTAATTATTCTTTTATTACACACATGCCAATTAACCACTTTTTTTTTCTCCAATGAATAATGGTGGCATAGTTTACTTCCAACTCGTATACTAACTATATGAAAATCTAAGTGGTTTCCATCTTTATTAATAAACATTTCTACATATATAAATATCTCTAAATTAATTTCACAGCCTTTTTGTTTAATCTTGCAGTGGTTTGATTGAATCAGTTGTGGCTTGAGAGATCAAACATTTAAATGTTACATTTTCCATGACCATGAACATGAAATGAACTCTGTGCCAACTAACCCCTACTTACTTGTAAAAGACATCCTGTCCTAAAACAAATGTTAAGCATTCAGACCTAAACATTAGATCATTACTCTAAGAACAATGCCTCAACACAAATCACACATACACAGCTGACGGTTTTGTTTATCTGTGAAAGCATTGTAAAGAATGTCAGAGATGCAGCTGTTCTTTCTTTCTCCCACTTGTTCTTTCTGATTCCCTTTCTCTCTGCGTTTATGTCATGAACAAATCTTGAGGTCAAAGAACAGGAGCCAACCATTCTTTTACTTTAAAACTAGTTTATTTTCTCATGCAAGTGGAGGTATATTCTTAAAATAATGCCAGTTTCAAGAAATAAAAACAGCTTTAATTAAAAAGAGCCAATTTTGGTGTGTTATGTCCTAAAAACAAAATAAAAAAAGCTGATGTTCATCATATAAAAAGTAGACATTCAATATATAAAATATAAATGTGGACCCAAATGAAGCCTAAACCTGATTGTTTGTGCACATGACGTTTCATTGTAACGGAGATGAAAGACAAGAGTGTTTATCTTCTTATTAGGGCACTTCATTGGAGTGGATCAACATTCATGGTAAAATACAAATAATACAAAATATTAGTGGCACTTCAGTTTCAAAAACAGGGTTGTAAATTGTGAGGATTCAGGCACAGTGGGCCAAATACAAAGATTTTCATTTCTACCTCAAGAGTGTTATAAAACAGCACTATATCCCTTCATTTACAGCTCTAATAGAAGGCAGGTGAGCTACAACAGCTCTCTGTAAACTTTCAACAGTCCTTTCCAGCAATAAATGTCAACTGGCACCCAAAGTAGCACCCTAGATGAAATGAGCAGAGAAGAAGGAGTTTATGAGATGTCAGAGAAGGGGCCAAGCACTAAAGGCACACTGGGATTCCACAGCGCTTCCTGATTAAAAAGTCGATCAACTCTACAAAGGCAACAATACAAGAAAAATGGCATGTTGTGGTAAGTGTAGGTCATCAAGTCTTAGGGTCTCACATTAAAATACCACGCATATCAGGTGGATCGTGAGCCCTGATAATTGTTACTGATACGGTAAGGGAAAGACAGCACCTTCAAAAGACATCCAATCTGAATTTAGACTGAATTTACACTTTGGTGCATGAAATATCCTCTGAGTGATTCCTAAAAAATATGCTGGGGTTTTAAGGCCTTATAGGAAGGCAGAAGTTGTCAATGCCTGTTAGTCCTTCAGACAAATCCACTCCACTGCCTTGGTCTGCCTGACTTTAGATTACAACACCGTATTTCTGTCTTGGACATGTATGGAAAGTTGAAACACAAATACACAAAAGCACACAGTCTCAGTCTTCCTCATTAACAGTCTGTACACCTATTGCTAACTGTAGTGTAGAGATATGAACAAAAAGTGACAGCAACACACATTTGCAGAGACGATCACATGACTAACTGATATTCCACCCTTCATAAAATCTCTCTCACGCACACACCCTCAAGTAGTTATAACAGCACACATTTTTTGCTGTGCTTCTTGGCATTGGGGTAGAGAACAGCCCTGACTGCTTCGTTGAAGACCTCTCTGACCCCCTCCTGCAGAAGGGCCGAGCACTCCAGATATCGCACCGCACCAATGCTGCGGGCCAATGCGCCGCCCTGCTGCGGAGTGGTTGGACTCATCCCCTGCTCTTTCAGCTTCTCCAGGGTCTCCTTGTCTCCCCGCAGGTCTCTCTTAGTGCCTACCAGCAACACAGGCACACCAGGACAGTGGTGGCACACCTCCGGGTGCCATTTATGCCGGACATTGGCGTGAGAGGAAGGGCTGGCCACAGAGAAACAGATGATGAAGACATGCGTCTGCGGGTAAGAGAGGGTTCGCAAGCGGTCGTACTCCTCCTGACCGGCCGTGTCCCACAGGTTGAGGCTGACGGCACGGCCGTCCACACAGGTCTGAGTGCTGTAGTTGTCGAAAACCGTAGGAATGTACTCGTCTGGGAAGGCATTAGTAGTGTAGGAGATTAACAGGCAGGTCTTTCCCACTGCACCATCACCAACAACAACACACTTTATGGTCTGCATTTTGTTGCCTGGCACAGGGATCCCTGAAAGAGAGAGAGAGATTTCATAACTCACTATACATGTAGCAGACTTTGCAGGCAACAGCCCAGACAGAAAAACAGCAGTCAAGACTTCTATACAACAGGGAAATTGGCAGTTTGTCCGTATAAATCGAATACATATTAGTTATTTTTACATATGAGACCTCTGCAAGCAACAAATACCCAAAACAAAGTAATAAATCGGTTCAGCTAGTACGTTAGCAGCTGATCCGCTAAATAAAACCGGCAATTATGGGATTAAGTAAGGCAGCATCACATCACCGTTGCTAAAAGTGTATTTTTTAAAGTAAAACTCACTGTGTTTGGATGGTCTGGAGAGCTGGATGAGTGTTTCCTTTGAGCTGCTCAAGTTTCCATCATCGCAGCGGCAAAGGCGCTTTGCTAACCGACTAGCGGATGAGCCCTCACATTAATCAGTTATTAAACATGGACCAACAAATCCCGGAGGTCTGCAACTACGTGTAACAACCGTACAAAACCTGTCCACACGTACAAAGTCTCGAAATACTTTCAAATTAACATATTTTGTGGTAATTAAAACGAATTATTCTATGTGTTTCGCAGTCCTTCTCTCACTGGCTCATTCTTCAACTTACGGGTAACGGAGACGACATCGGGGAACACGCCCATGTCGCAAATGCTTGTGGGAAATGTAGGGTAGTTTCACAGTAAAAACTACAAATGTTCGTATTTACATTTATGTAGTCATAAATTACTATAATATTAATATAAGCACAGGTATGACTGGCTTACGCGATTCATTTACTAAATGTATTATCTTTATATCGGGTTAACACAACAATGAGAATATATTCTAGGCTTCTTTTTACATTTTATCCACATATGCAGGTTTCATTTGTAATTAACACAAATGTGAATTAAAACAATGTGAATCTAAGTCCTTTACGGCTCGCGCTTTACGGTAAGGAGACGACATTGTGGACCACGCAAAGGCCTTTGGGAAATGTAGTGTAGTTTCGGAGTAAAAATGACAATATTAGCGATGTGTGCTTGGTCTTTCATGACTTATGCAGTGAATCAACTAAACCACAATTGTAAAATAAATACTGTATAAAAGTATTACACCAAGAATAACGTGTCATTTTGCCAATTCACCACAGTTCAGGGTGTGAGCAGACTGATAAGACTCACGTCAGAGTTATGAATTTTTACTCAAAAATACTTCTTCGATAGTTTTGTATTTTATATAAATGTTATACTTAATTTAAGATCATTACAAACAATTACTTATGAAATAATAAAAGTTAAAAATCAGATTTGTATTTTGATTTGTATTTTTGATTTGATTTGTATTTTGAGTAAAAGGTGTTTACCTGCTCTCTCACCTATAAGCTGCTGCTCTGTGTTTCAGAATATGGACTTTACCTCGTCCTATCCTTTCCTCCTTTTCATCTCTCATCATGGACTATCAATACAGTCATAAATTCCCACATTATGTCTATTTACAGTATTTTACTGTCCCATAAGCCACACAAAGTATTTTACTTAAACTATTTAATTAAATGCTAAGGAGTTAAGCATGTTATAATTGTTTTAATTAAAGTGTTGATCGATAATGTCCGGACGACTATGTCTGCCATAGGTATATAAAATAATTATTATATACATTATAAAAATAAGTAAATAATATTTTTAATATCACTTCCCTAGAGTAAACTGAAGAAAACGTCATGCTCCAATGTGTAAGAATATACACGGCGTGGCTACAAATGACTATGACTAAAAATGACTAAAACATCAGTAATGTTTAATTTATCTAACTATTCTGCATTGTATTATAATCAATTATGGTCTTCCGGAAGCAGAAAAGGAAAAAAGCACCAGGCCCAGATTGTAAATTCCTCGTATGTGTAAACATACCTGGCAATAAAGCTCATTCTGATTCTGATTCTGAACTGTCACCAGTTCGCGAGCAGTGTAGAAATGCTGTTAGCCTGATGGGGGCGCCAAACCACAGCGTCTTATCATCACTCTAACTTCACTATCGACCAAAGTAGACTGATAAAAACTTCCCGCAGAGTAATGGCGACTTGGGCGAGGTTAGGCGTTAGTTTGCGGAGTACAGTCAGACGTTTCTGGCCTTTCAGAAACATAGGGTATGGTCGTGCTGTTGGAGGGGGTCTTCTGGGCACTGTTGTAGCAAGCGGATTTATTCACTATAAAAATGAACCGCGATGGAGACTCTTGCCACACATCGTGTACGCGGAGGACGCGAAGGTAAACAAACTTCTCTAAATAGAGACTACTTTTCAAATGACTTCTCAACTACTTCGAGTGTCATGGTGTCTGTGAAGTTAAATACTTAACAGACGCACTGTCATGTCGTCTGTTTGTTCGTGAAGTCACTATGTTTATACAATTATCCGTTTTAAGTTTAAATATTAAAGTGGAACCAACCGATTTACAATTATTATTAAACGAATCAGCTCGTGTTTTATTGAAGTGTGTCTAAACCAGGGGTAGGCAAGTTCGATCCTAGAGAGCCGCAGTCCTGCAGAGTTCAGCTCCAACCCTGAAAAAAAAAACTCACCTGCCTATAGCCTTAGTAATCCTGAAGACATTGATTAGCTTGTTGGAGTCTCAGTAAATCCTAATGTCTTATTGTTGCAAATGTTTGTTTATGTAAACATATTTTCGATAGTGTGGACAGTAGCACGGTTGCCATCACATTGTAAACAGCTCAACTCTTGAACGCTACTTTATCAGATAAATATGAAAATGTCATCGAAACTTTTCTGAAGACAGTCGGGTCCCTTCAGAGATACATTCATATAAAACACCCGCGCCGTGTTTTGATTTTGAAACGTGCAGTGCTCATGTTTATTCAACGAA